AGTTCACTAGCATTAAGTGATCACATTTAAGGGAAAAACTCATCTGTATGTAAACTTTTTAACTCACTGTAAAATTTTATACCTTTTTATCACATGTCCTTGACCTGCTAAAGGGAGCTGGGTGTTAGTAGGTGAGGTAGGAGCCCACGTAAAGATGAGGCTTTTATAAGCCTCTTTTTTTTTCCCTGCAACTCCTTGTCAGGAGCTCGGGACACCCTGTGCTGCCATCTCCCCTCCCTCCTGACCGGCTCACCCCTTTTCCCTGTCCTCCACAGAGCTGAGTGCTGAGGACACCATGGGGTACCTCAGTCAGTCCGCTGTCATCGTGATCCAGGTTTCTACCTCCACAGGGAAGCCAGGCACTGTTAGCTCTAGAACTGCTTACTTGGAGAATGGGGGAGGGGGGGGCAGTGGGGGGACAATAACCTGATTTGAGCAGGAGAGAGCGTCGAGATGCATGTGTAGAGTAATCGGAAAGAGTAAAGTAACTGCGTTTATCTGTATCAAGGATTTTCAAAAAATACTCTTTTTAGTTCTCTCTCTGGCTTTCCATTCTGCTGCAACACCCTGACACATATCTGCTATCACATCATTCTGTTTCACTACTATCATTGCACTTACCAGCATCCACATTCATTTGATACATTCCTTAATTTGATTCCTGTTCCTTCACTTGACTAGAGAGTTCCGAAGGGACTGGGCCCGAAGTGTGACTTCGCTCACCAATAATAAAGCTTCATTTTCATATTTCAAACTTGAATAGTAAGAACAAAATCCTTCCATTTTATTATGAGTTTTCATAATAAGAATTATTGTTTACCCATTCTTAACTTACAGTATCATAAAATTGTAGACTATGTACAAAGTTAATAAGATTTTTTGTAAGCACCACAGTCAAGATGGAAACTGTCATGGGATACTTCAGTATCACACCGGACTTCTCACTTTCCCCCTGTCCCACTGGCCACCTTACTTCTCTATTGTATAGTGATTCCAAATCACAACACCACTACACCTGTTCCACCTCAGACCTAAGAAAAACAGGTAACATCAAGGCCCAACCAATGATTAAGAAACACTGCTTTGCGGTACTATTTATTTTATCAGTACAAACAGGGATATATTTTGCAAGTGAGAAAGGTTTTGCCTAAAAGCCCCAGTGTAAATACAAACCAAAAAATACACAGAAATCCAAGGACCAGGAAGTGCATAAAGTTTAGCACTCTATAGTATCCTCAGGTTTCCTAAGACACTGAGTTGAGTTCCTGACTCCTCCATCATTTACTGTTCTGTGCTTCTGCGGATGAAAAAGGCCACACTTGAGTTTTTAATCACTATTCTGCCATGTTCATTCTCTCTCAGTAAAGGGATTTGCTGACTGCCAAGCAACTTCAGGCTAGAAGGACATAAGCAGTTAAACGGTCATCTATCTCTTTAAACTTTAAATTGCTACTGCAAACATAAACATAACCATTGCTTATAAACTTACTGTTTACACTTCTACAATCTTTTGTTTTCCTTTCAAAAAAGGGACATTTAAACCTGGATTTCATTATGTCTCAAAGAAAACGTTCTTTCAGAAGAACAGGTATAAAATCTGTAAGCAGAGACTGGAGAATCTGTGCTTTCTCCTCTAAACACTAAATACTCCCAACATCCACTAAATCTCTTCCTAGAACTGGAATGTTTTGCTGGAGACGTGCAAATATAAAAACAATGCACTCATAATATCTAATAGTGTCAGAAGAAGCAAAACAGACTGTGGCCCATGTCTAGGTGCCATACTTGGTACAGTGGGAAACTGTGAGACAGAGTCCCCATTCTAGAGGAGCCACACCCAGGATGTTCTTCCTCCAAAATACATCATGGTGGATCACTCCTCACTGCCTCCATCTCACATCTATTACCCTAGTTGATGGCCTTATAATCTTTCAGTTGACTGGCAGTGATAGCCTCCTTACTGATTGGTTGTTCCTTGAACCTGCCAAGGGCATTCCCACTCCAAGGCTGTATATTTGCACAGAGCTCAATCCCTTCAGGTATTCTGTTCAAATGTCATCATATCAAAGAGAGAAATCATGACAACACTAAATAAAAACAACCCCAACTCTGCTATCTACAGTCCTTCTATAGTTCTTTGTTCTTATTCATGGCATATATTTATTACTGGTTTTCCCCCTTTCTTGAGAGCGGAGATTTTTGATTACCTTGTTCACTGCTGTATCCGCTGTGCTTAGAATGGTGCCTGGTACACAGTAGGTGTTCAATAAGTATGTTTGATGATGTTTAACTGATAACTAACTATTCAGGTGAAATAATAAGGGCAACAGTAAGTGAACACTTCAAGACAGTTTACAGTTAACTGGTAATTGAATAGAATGGGCCAGTAATATTGACCAAAAGTATACACATGCCCAGACCCTAGTCAAAGAGTAGAGCGGGAAAAGCTAGCTTAAAACTCAACATTCAGAAAACTAAGATCATGGCATCTGATCCCATCACTTTATGGCAAATAGATGGGGAAACAGTGGAAACAGGGACAGATTTTATTTTCTTGGGCTCCAAAATCACTGCAATGGTAACTGCAGCCATGAAATTAAAAGACACTTGCTCCTTGGAAGAAAAGCTATGACAAACCTAGACTGCATATTAAAAAGCAGAGACATTACTTTGCCAACAAAGGTTCGTCTAGTTAAGGCTATGTTTTCCAGTCGTCATGTACGGATGTGAGAGTTGGACCATAAAGAAAGCTGAGTGCATAAGAATTGATGCTTTTGAACTGTGGTGTTGGAGAAGACTCTTGAGAGTCCCTTGGACTCTCAAGGGGTCAAAGCAGTCAATCCTAAAGGAAATCAGTTCTGAATATTCACTGGAAGGACTGATGCTGAAGCTGAAACTCCAATACTTTGGCCACCTGATGCCAAGAACTGACTCACTGGAAAAGACCCTGATGCCAGGAAAGATTGAAGGCAGAAGGAGAAGGGGACGACGGAGGATGAGATGGTTGGATGGCATCACTGACTAGATGGACATGAATGTGAGCAAGCTCCGGGAGTTGGTGATGGACAGGGAAGCCTGGCGTGCTGCAGTCCATGGGGGTGCAAAGAGTTGGACTGAGTGAATGAACTGAAGTGAACTGAGACCTTATCACAGCACCCACTAAATCTCTTCAGGTGGCATTCTGAAAAAGTCTATGTTTAAACAGCTTCCTAGGTGATTTTATGGGGTTTTTTTTACTGTGGTAAAATATTTATAACATAAAATTTGCCATTTTAACAATTAACAGGTGATTCTATCCTGCAACTCTGTTGAAAACTACTGGCATAACAGTACAAAAGCAGAGGAAAGAACAGCTGAAGAGGGGGATTAAGAAATGTCCCAGGTTATCTCAGTAAGAGGATGGCCCTTGGAGCTGAATACAGGTCTACTACTTACTAGCTTCGAGACTGGGCAGGTAACTTAGCTCTTAAGCTTCCACACCCACAAATGAAGATAATTTCTAAACCCTCTCTCTCCTCATGTCCCCTGCAAACTGCTTCAAGGTTACTGTAAGGTGAACAATGAAATCATGCACATAAAGTATCTACTTCAGTGTACATAACAGGCACCAAAGAACTTACTGGAATTACTAGAACCAGAACTTACTGGAATTACTTTCATTGAAATAGGGAAATAAACTTGTATTAGCAAAAACACAAGAAGCAGGTGAAACCCGGACCTACATGGCTATTAAAATGCCTCTTCTACTGACAGGACTGGTGAAAAACTTGGTAAGAGTTCCAAAGATATGATCATATTAGAACAGCGGGTCTCAAACTTGTGCATGGTTCAAAATTACCTGGAGGTTTGTTAAACACAGATAACTTTGTTTTGGTGATTCCAGGGTGAGGCCTGATAATCTTCATTTCTAACAAGTTCCCAGGTAGTACTGAGGCTATTGATTATTAGTCAAAGGGTACGAAGTTTAAGTCACATAAGATGAGTAAGTCCTACAGAGCTTCTGGACAGGGTCATGCCTGCAGTTAACAATACTATGTTGTACACTTACAAATGTGCTAGGAGTGCAGATTTTATGTTGTGTTCTTATCACAATAATAAATAAGAAGGTGAGAGAAAACTTCTGGAGGTAATGGATAAGGTTTGTGGCAGTGATTCGGTAATGGTTTCATGGGTGCAAACTTAAGTCAAACCCCATCAAAGTTATACACATTAAATATGTACAGCTTTTTTTTTTTAGATTTTCCTGGTGGTCTTCCTGGGCTTCCCTGATAGCTCAGTTGGTAAAGAACCCACCTACAATGCAGGAGACCCTGATCCAATACCTGGGTCAGGAAGATCCGCTGGAGAAGGGATAGGCTACCCCCTCCAGTATTCTTGGGCTTCCATTGTGGCTCAGCTGGTAAAGAATCCAACTGCAATGCAGGAGACCTGGGTTTGATCCCTGGGTTGAGAAGATACCCTGGAGAAGGGAAAGGCTACCCACTCCAGCATTCTGGCCTGGAGAATTCCATGGAATGTACAGTTCATGTGATCGCAAAGAGTCGGACATGACTGAGTGACCTTTACTTCACAACTTTTTTATGTCAACCATACCTCAATAACGTGATTAAAAGAAACCCACAATGAATTAGAGTATGCATATCCTAAAAAAAATCTCAGAACCTATTACTTCAGTAAAATTTAAAAAAAGAAAAAAAAACTAAGATAGTTCATTTAAAAAAAAAAACTATAACCAGTAATTTCTTATGATTTTTCAGGACATTTTAAAACCAGAAAATTCAACTATTACAATTTTAAAAAAGAAACAAGAAAAAATTCATACCACTGGTATCCCAATGAGAAGTTCAATTATGAAAATGAATTCAAAGTTAATTCTTAGTTAATTCTGTTTTAAAAGAAAAAATCTAGAGAAAACAAAAAAACCCAAAATGTGGTGGTTTTAAAAGAACAAATGTAATCGAAAATGTCCGATAGGTAGATAACAAAAAAAGAACACTTACAGGTATGAAGGCATTCCGTCACTGTAGTTGGCTTGATGAGATACCCTTTACAGATATAGCAGGTGATGTAAGGATTGAAATCTTTCACCAAATGTTTCCTTTGGGTAGCCATTCGTGGTTAGCTAGGACTGGCTCTAGTAGTTCAGGCAAAAAAGGGTATTAGTGGATGAAAGTCTGATCCCAGGAGCTGGTGTGGAGTTCCCAACTGGGTGTCCCGAGGCATGAGAATTAACATCCAGACTTCTCATGAGATCGCTGGTCATCACTCCTTTTGGTGGTTCGGCTTTCCCATATCTTCTTCCACAATAATTTTAAAAAGATGAGAGAAAGAGGTGTCAAATTCTTCATACTGAATTAATACCAGTATATTAGCAGCAAGCATTACATGTTCCAAATTGGGTGAAGAGGTGAACAGAACATTTCCCTCACTATAATATTAATTTGTAAACCTGCTATGATTAAATCAGAATAATGACGAATTCATCTGATACTGAGGCCTCCCCATCACCTCTAAACAAATGACACCTGAGGCTATTAACTCAGGTTTTGATATCTTTACCTCTTCAGTAATGCATTTTAACTGTCTGCTTGACTGCTCTATTAGGAGTTTCTGCCAACACAAGCTGAAGATTCAAAATTGAAGTCATTATCCTCCCTATCAAAATGCTCCCTATTTCCATTTTGTACTCCACATCAAGCCATAATCAAATCAAATGGATGCCCTTTTCCATTCTACCCGCAGCCATGCTACTCAAATATTATCTCTCCACCTGCAGTCCAACTTAGATTCTACCAAGTTTTATTCTATTACATTTGGAGCCCCTTATCACAGAATGTCAGGGTCTCCTCTTTGCAACAGAGAAAAGTTTAAATTTCTCAGCTTTTCATAAAAGACCCTCCACAGGCTGATCTTAACACACTGTTCAACAGTCAGGTAAACGGAAAGGATGACTCTCTTCATGGTCCATTCTGCAGGGTCTATGCCCCCCACCCGATGAGTCCTTCTGCTCCTCTGCTGCTGTTGTTGTTTCGTTGCTAAGTCAGGTCTGACTCTTCTGTGGTTTACAATTATCTTCATTCTTAATCCCCTCTATTAGACTGCAAAACCTTAAATAGATACCAGTCATATTTAGTAGATGTGCAACCTGGGCAATATTACTTACCTAAGCCTTAGGGTTTTTTAAACTGTAAAATGAAAACAAGAATGCCAGCCTCCTATGGGACTTCCCTAATTGTCCACTGGCTAAGCCTCTGCACTACCAATGCAGGGGGGACCCAGGTTTCGATCCTTGGTCCCAGAATAAGATCCCACAAGCCACAAGTAAAAGTTCACATTCTGCAACTGAAGATCATGCATGATGCAGCTAAGACCTAATACAGGTCTTATACATAAGTCAAATACATAAGTAAAGAAATAAAGAATGCCAGCCTCCTCCAGCAGGGACAATGAAATGAGACAATATACATATAGCTAGCACAATATAAAAACTGAACGTCATTAACATCTTTAAAAACTTTTTTCCCTCCAGAAATGTCTAGCACGGCTCTTCCGCATGGTTACTTTAAAAAGTTTTTTTTTCATTTTTATTAGTTGGAAGCTAATTATTTGACAATATTGTAGTGGTTTTTGCCATACATTGACATGAATCAGCCATGGATTTACATGTATTCCCCATCCCAATCCCCCTCCCGCCTCCCTCTCCACCTGATCCCTCTGGGTCTTCCCAGTGCACCAGCCCTGAGCACTTGTCTCATGCATCCAACCTGGGCTGGTGATCTGTTTCACCCTTGATAGTATACTTGTTTCAGTGCTGTTCTCTCTAAACATCCCACCCTCGCCTTCTCCCACAGAGTCCAAAAGTCTGTTCTGTACATCTGTGTCTCTTTTTCTGTATAAAACAACGGAAGAGGTAAAAGACATAGCTCCATCCTTCCATCGACAGACCCTGTACCACTGAGTATGTGCACAGAATAGGTTCTGCAAGTAATCATCGTATCTGCTCAATGATCTTCACTAAGTCACTAAACAACAGTGCCTGCGTCTTGGCTTCCTCCTCTACACACCGCCCTGCCTCTCTCACAGGTTTGCCACGAAACGCCAACGTCTGAGAAAGTCCCCTGAAAGAAGACATGCACAGTCCCGACCGAGGGAGGCTTTCAGGATCCTAAGCCATAGAACCCTGTCACCACGGCAGTTAAAGGAAGCCAGCGCGGGCAGGAACCCGGCAGGGACAGGAGGGAACTTTTCCGCGTCCTCGGCGGAACCCGGTAGCCACTGCCCTGGGCGGTCCAAGCATGAGTCGCCCCGCCCGCCTGGCAGGTGCGCGGGCCCGGGCTCGGGGGACGCGCCGCTGGGGCCGGGCCGGGGCTGCGCCGAGGACGCGCCGCCTCTCTCCGGGTCTGGCGCTCGCCGCCCTCTCCGCCCCCCGAGCGCACCGCGCGACCTCGAAGCTCCCAGACTCGGGCTGGCCACCCCCACCCCCACCCCCGCCCCCGAGGGGCTCCCCTGGCTCCAGGAGGGGTCGGCCGCGGCAGGTGCCTGGGGGGTGCCGCTCCAGCTCTCTGCGGAAACTTGGGCGTGCAGTGCGGGGGCGGCGGAGTTCCGGCCCTTCAACCGCTCTCCAGCCCGCCGGGTACCTACCCCGCGGCCGCCGCCTCTGCTCCTTGCCTCCAGCGCGCCGGCCTCAGAGGGAAGTAAAGTGAAAGAGAAACAGCGCCCGCCGCGGCCTGGCCGGTCCCCGCGCCCCGTCCGCCCTCCCCCTGCAGGCGGGAGCGCGCCGGCTCCGCGGGGCCACTCGGCTCAGGCCCGATAGGGCGCGGCGGGCCTCCGGGCCCAGGGCCGGTGCCGCCTCCAAGGGCAACTCCACCCCTTTCCAACCGCCGGCGCCGCCGGCCGGCCCCGCCCCCGCCCTGCCCCCGCAGGCCACGCCCGCAGGCCCGCGCTCCTTACAGGTGCCGCGCCCGCCCCGCCCGCCCAGGTTCCCGGTAGCTTTGAGCAAATTCTATCTGTTCTCCTCACCAACAGCCCCTCCCAGTTGTTTTCATCATAACAATGTCTGGCATATTTTCCCTGGCGGGTTTACAAGCAATGGTCAGTGCTGAGAATGAGTCACCCCGCGAGAAACTGTCTACTCAGTCTTTCCCAAACCAGCCCCACGCAGGACACGGTGGGGACCAAGACCTATTGATTTGCACCTTATTTAAGAACCACTAAGGAACTTGGTGGACTTCTCAGGTGGCGCTAGTGGTGAAGAACCCGCCTGCCAATGCAGGAGACAGGAGAGATGTGGATTCGATCCCTGGGTCAGGGAAGATCCCCTGAAGGAGGGCAGGGCGACCCATTTCAGTATTTAGAGGAGTCTGGTGGGCTACAGTCCATGGGGTCGCAAAGAGTGGTACACAGCTGAAACGACTTAGCACGCAAGGAACTTGGTATCTGGGGCGGGGTGGGTGTAGATCAGGATCACTGACAACTGTAAACAACCGGGAGAACCCTAGGGGTGGGGATGTAACTGGAAAGGTAAACAGTTTTGTTTGCAAGTTTCCAAACAAAAAGACCCAGTTCTCTTTCTAGTGGACTTGAGAACTACAAGAGGCCATTCATCGCACAAAAAAAAAAAAAAAAAAAAAAAAACTGATTCAAAAGCATACTCTAAAGGATTTCTCAAAGTCATTCAATCCTAATATTTTGCATTCCACAAACTTATAAATTTCTACTAATACCAGGATTCTGCTAAACATAAATTAGACTTGGTTCTTCGTTGCTTAGAAAACTGCAATCCAGTAATCCTAAAATAGCAGGCCAATCAGTGTTGTCTCCACCAGTAAAACAAAAGTTCAAAAGAACATCCCAAAGGTATCTGTCAAAGGCAACTTCCAATCTTGCATGTTAGAAAGAGGAAAAGGTACTGCCATAACATACATCATCTAGAAGTGAAAGCAGTGATGGCTAAGGAGTTGACAGTAGTGGGGGCGGGGAACTAATGCAGAGTATTTCCTTTACCTCCAATCGAGTCACCTTACTACCTACCAGAGTGGAGATGGCTCTAGTGACAAACCAATAAACCCAATGACCACTCGTCTAGCAGCATACAAATGTTCAAAGATACATTTCAAGTAAAAAATACACCAAGTGACAAGACAGCTTTTACAAAATATCCAATTTATAATTAAACTAAGGTAGCGCGAAGGTAACCTTTAAAAATTACCATTTTAATAACATAGCAAGAGCAACAGATTTTCTGAAACAGTTTTCAGTGACCACATTTCCATAGTCCTCAGAAGAACCACTTTGGAAAAGTATACATGCCAATTTCCAAGCTGGGATCAACTTCGGTAAGTCCTGGCAATCACAATGAGCAACGAAAATACGTCCTGTAAAATGACTTTACAGCTGTAGGACTATTCTGCAGATAGTTCATCCTGAAAACTAATTAAACATATGGATATGTGAAAAGTCATCCTATTTTTATTGCATTTTTAAAGTAGAAATAGAAGATACTATTGTATATATTGAATACTACAACATATACACTATGACTTGCTATCTTCCTAATTTGCATCTGAAGCTATTTTAAATGTATTTTTAAGGAATAACACTTAATGAAGTCCTGGGAGTGTAAGTGTGATTGGTGATCAACAGTGTGTTGTTGCTGAGTCACTAAGTCGTGTCCAACTCTTTGCAACCACATGGGCAGCACACCAGGTTCCCATGTCCTCCACTCTCTCCCAGAATTTGTCAAATTCATATCCATTGAGTCGGTGATGCTATCCACACTAAGTGGGGTTAATTGGTATTCCCTGAGGAAATGCATGTGTGGCTGGATATTAGGGTTTACACTAGCAGTGGAGACAGGGGTCACAAATATGCTATAGAGCAGGACCTGGAGACAGACGTGGAGGTAGGGCTTTCATAATAAAGCTGCAAATGGTGGTCTTGGAAGCAGGAAGAGAATGACAGCTTTGTAAGAAAAGCTGTGCTTTGTGTCTTGAGGCAGTGTGGTTTGTAGTGAAGTGTTCAGTGGTTTCTCCTTTCCCCTCTTCAGCTACCACCCCACCTTGCCCATTCAAAGGGAAAAAAAAAAGAATGCACACACACACACAAAGCAAAAA